CCCCCCCCGGTGCCTAGGACGTCATCTTCAAAGGTCCATAGGCTTCTGCACTTGAGTTGGGCAGCCAAAGACAATTCTTTACTCTCTGTCTTTTGAAACTAGCCGTCTTCATACAAATATGAAAGCTGAGTAATTATAATGCAGCTCCTGGTATATTGAGAGGTTCGAATTCACAGTAAGATATCCTTTAACTAGGCATAGATCACGAGACAAGGAAAGAAACCATTATTACGTCATGAGGAAAATCACTATAATCATTTTTTTAAAAGCTTAATTAATACATGAGCTTGAACTAAAAACAAAACCCATAGAGCTTGAATTACCTGAGGTAAATTCATTGTTTCTGTCAATGGCTAAAGAAAAGCACAAAATAGATCAAATAAACTAAAGATGTGATTTTATCTCCTCCATTTAAACAAAAATCAAGTTTGAACTATAGGTTCATCTTCTCCTTTGAGAAGAGGACTTATGACCATTTTAGTAAGCGTTTTTTACTTAGACATAATTCAACTCAACCATCATCGATTATTTTTCTGCTGCATGTGTGATCTTGGACAAGCCACTTAACCTTTCTGTCTCCTCAATGAAAAGACTATAGTTCATATGCTAATCCTTGGATAGCACAAATGGTTCATTGTTCCACTACTAACCCCAAAGTTGGCAGATCAGACCCATCCAGGGGGCCTTGGCAGACAGGGTTGGTGATCTACTTTCCAGAGTCATGGCCTTGAGAACCTGATGCAGCAAGCAGTTCTACTCTGTGCACACAGGGTCCCCATGTGCTGGAATCCACCAAACGGCCACCACCACCACCACTAATATATGGACTAGGGTGATGGGGAGAATACGGTGAGGTCATCTTTGTGATGCTCTTAGAGAGGATCTGGCCACTTAAATGTGTTCTACTTGTTAATGTGTGTAGGGGGCCCTCTCTCCCATAGTTCACCATCCAACAGCAGAGACACTGGGAATGATGAGACAGTGTGATAGATGTGGTAATGGAGTTAAATGAGATAAGTGTTAAAGGAACACAGGCAAGCAATTAGCTCTGTGAAGGTGATAGAAGGAAGGTGAGATAGGAAAGGTGGCGGCTGAACTAAGTTTTGGGGATCACTTTAATTGTTGGGAAAGCCACTTGAAATGAATAAGAATAGCAAAAGACAGGAAGGCTGGCTCTGAGCTCAATAGAAGGATCCACTAATGAGAGACATTCACTGTGGTCCTTGGAACAAAGGGCACTGGAGGAGGAGGGCCAGCAAGGCTCAATGGTTAAAAAGTGCAGGATGTGGAGGATTAAGTCCGTATTCTTCCCTTACTAGCACAATTAGATGCTCTGAATCTCATTTTCCCTATCCATAAACTACAACTTGTAAAAAATTGCTCTGCGGATTAAATAAGACTAGTAACTACTGTGCATTAAGTACCTACTATCTGTTAAGCACTGTGCTAAACCCCCTTGCTCATACTAATGCATTTTGTCATCATGACAGCATACAGGCAAATACCATTATTATTCCATTTTTCCAATGAGGAAACTGCAGCATAGAAAAGTTAAGTCATTTACTTAATAAGTTAGTAAACAGTGAAGTATGGGTGTAAGTCTTCCAAGTAACCAAAACT